TCGGCCCGCGGCGCAGGCGGGAGGGGAGCGGGAGGGCGGGGGCGGCGGCGGCGGGAGGCCATGCCTCCAGCTGCGGAGGCTGCCGAACAGCTGGAGCCATCGCGGTCACCTGCGCGGCGCCGTCGCCGTCGCCCTTGCGCCCCGGCTGCCCGGCCCGCGGCCGGCGGACTTTGCGGAGGGCGCCCGGCGTAGGCGGCGGCGAGTGTGGGCCGAGCCGGTATTTATAGCTCGGTGACAGCAGCGGCGGCAGCGACGCCGGCGGGCCGTCTCGCCGCTCTTCCCAGCGAGGCCGCCGGCGCGGCGGAGGGCTGTGCTCGCCCGGCTCTCCGGTGTTGCAGACACCCCGCGCCCGCGCGGCCCCAGCCGGTGAGTACGCGGGCCCGGGCGCTGGGCGCGCCTCCCCCGCCGCTCGGGCCGGCCGCAGCGGAGCCCTGCTAGCCCGGCCGCCCCCTCGTCCCTGCCCGCGAATGCGGAAGCGGCCGCGGCCCCCTGTCCCCCAGTTCCCCCGGCGCGTTTCCTCGGTTCCCGAGGATGGCACGCCAGGAGGCAGGGTAAAGTGTCAAGCGTGGGGGTTGGGGGGTGGGAAGAGGCGGTAACGGATGCACCGGTCCTTTTGCGAAAGGGCAGTTGAGACTCCTAGGTGGAAGGCTGTCGGTGAGGAACCCTGGAACTCCGGGGCTCCCAGGGTTACCAGGACAGACCTTGAACTTTCCTCGCTTCGCTGATTACTAGCACGGGAGCGCTGGAGAAGCACTACGTATTGTTTGTTAATTAAATTAACAGGTTGCTGTTTTGGGGCGTTCTCCATAAAAGCAAAAAAGCAAAAAAACAAAACTTGAGTGTTTACTAACTTTATTGTGGCTAAAGAAAGCTATTTGGCGATTCCTATTTTTGAAAATGCCATAGGCCCACAAGTGTGGTAGGTCCATGTGGTAACACTTGGGCTACCATTATTCATTCTACCCTCTGTGGAACAATGAACTCTGTGTACGGGTGTGAGAGAGGGTAGTAAACATCACATGCTTGTTTTAGTATTTGTGTGTCTAATGAACCAAAAAAAAGGGTATGTTGAACAAATATATTTACCCCTCATTATAAATGACATACTGTTTGAAATCCATAGAAGGACTTCTAGGAAGATTTCAGGGTTTAGTTTTGTCTTCAGAAAACATTCCTTACAATTTATTGAATATAAAGAATAGTAGAATCTCTGTAAGAACTATTTTTGTTGTAAAGTTTTTAATTTTTTACCATGCCTACACTTCCTAACACCGCCCCCTCCCCCATCTATGTAGTTTAAAAGCAAGTATGGATTTTGAAATTTTAACTTGGGTGTTTATACCCACTCCCATTCCACCTCCATTTGATCCTTTGCTCAGAAACCAATACTTGTCTATTTTATTTAATATGCTTCTTTAAACTGCCAGCTATTTAAAAAATAATTTCAGATATGAATGAATTTTACTTTATTCTTGAACTATTATTTTCTTTGGTGTTTGTTTAGATTCTTTATCATAAACAGATATCGCTAAAAAGAGCTCTAAGCATTTTTAAAGAATTAATTGGTGAATATGTTTCAACTTTATGACATGAAAGTGTTCATAAATACTTTGCCATTTTAATGAAAAGTTAACTAATTAGAGAGAACTCCAGACCTACTTTGCTTCAGCTTCTCTGTTTTAAAAACTTGCGTGGTTTAGAACTTTGTTATACCAAAGACTGCAGGATAAGAACAAGGAAAGAAATTCATTTAAAGGTTGAAAACGATATGAAGAGAAAGTCTAGGAAGGGATTTATGGATATGATCCTCTAAATTAGCAAGGGTACTACAAATACCATCCTGGTATCTATGTAAAGTCACTTAGGGTGGTTTCATTGATTGACTTAAAAGGTTGCTTTTTATTTAAAAGGCTGTGTGGTCTCTGGTATTGGACCAAAAGCAAGAAGTTCCAACTTAGTTCTGTTATTATTGCGATTTGTGTTTTTAAAACCTGTATTAAGCGTTCGCATTATGTAGAATGCTATATGTAATCTCCTCATGCCTGCCTTTCACCTAACATTTCAGGATAATATACCAAGACCTTAGGGCTGGTCCAGGCAAATGTATATTGGGTTTCTCCATTTTTCTGCCATGTGTCCTTTTATAGACTTGAATATCCCCTTATCCAGAGTTTGTTCTCTCTGGAATGGAATCTTCAGTGTTTTTTGTTTTTTTTTTTTTCTTCTTACTCAAGGCTGGTTCATTATCCCATCATGATCCATAATTTTTTTTTTCATTTATTAATTCAATAGCAAATATTTGTTGAATGCCTACTAGGTACAAGTTATCACCTAGTACTTAATGGTTCCTAGTGCCCCTGCTTCCTTCCCATTGGAACTTTAGTCTGTATTTTATACTTCTCGGTGTAGGGACCATAGTAGTTATTGAGAATTTTGACTTTGAGGTCATAGAGGTACTTCTCCTGCTTCCACTGGTTGGTACCTATATGACCTTGGGCAGATTATAACCTTTCTGAGTCTCCACTCCTTTATTGGTAAAGCCAAAGGGCTGGTATAAGGACTAATTGAGGTACTGAATGAAAAGTACTTGCCTAACATATAAAAAGCACTAAGAAATGTTAGTGATTATTGTGCTGTCCATGTCTGCTTCAGTGGTGTTCCTCTCAGGAAATGGCAGTTCCAGTCTGGGTTTTGCCAGGCCCTGTCCACATCCAATCCATCACGTAACTGTCGTCAGCTCTTCTGTTTAAATGTCTAGAAGTTCATACATTTCCAACCACCAGACAGAAATGTGGCCCTTCTGACATGTAACTCACATGTATCACTCAGTCTCCTGTTTCCCGAATCACACAAGGGAAAGCCCACACACATTGGACGGCCTCAAGGCCAGATCACTAAAGGCCACCTCACAATCGGATGCTACCTTGCAGGCTCCATCTCCTTTCACACTCCCCTGCATCCCAGTCTATCCGGTCACACTAGCTTTTTTGCTGTTCCTTAAATGTGCTAATCATTCACTCAGCACAGATTTTTGCAATGTTTTGTTCTCTGTGTCTAGGTCCCTCTTTCCCAGATACCTGCTTGCTTCCCTCCCTTCCTTGAGGTTCTGTCCAAATGTCACTTTATAGTGAAGCCTACTTTAATTTCCCTCCCTGACATTCCCCAGTAACTTCCTCCATCACCTTACAGCTTTTTAAAATATTATGTATCTATTTTCTTTTCTGTTTAATGTCTGTTTCCCTCAGTGAGACTGTAACATGCAAAACAACAGGAGTGTCATCTGTTAGCAACCCTGATGGGTAGGCCAGTGCCTGGCACAAATAAGCAACTGGTAAATGTTGAACAAATGAATGATGAATGTTATCATGGAATTAACACTTTCTAAATACGATTTTGGACAAGTAGCTTAAGCTTTCTGAGCCTCAGCTTCAGTATTTGCACAGTAAGGATAGCATTCATCCTTTACCTTGTACAGTTGCATTAAAAATACTTTAATGGTGAGAATAACATAAAAAATCACTCCGTAAATGTAATGTGTAGGTGCTATTACCATCATGCTCATTATTAGTGGGAATGACCAAGACCCGTTTGTATTTTAACAGTGGCCTTCAGGGTAGGAAGTGGCTGGAAATGACCAGGCACTTTACAGATGAAATCTCCTTAGGTCTTCACTACAGTGCTCTGAGTGAAGTATTTTTACTGGGATTTTACTGGCGAAGAAGTGGAATCTCCAAGAGGTTAGGCATTTGCCCAAGGTCACAGAGCTAGTAAGTAGCAGTTAGAACTGGACCATATTCCTCCCAGCACATCAGGCTGCCCTTTGAAAAACTCATGCTCCTGATTCCTTTGAATCATTTTAGTGTCATTCTAATGGTGTGATTTTGCCCATTAAAAACACTAAAAGGTAAAATGTGATATAAATATAGGCTGCTATCCTTATTTATCTTTTAAGGAAAAAATATTAAACAGTTTTAAACTGTGTCTGCCTTTTGGAGGTAGAATTTTATTTTATTTTATTTTATTTTATTTTATTTTATTTTATTTTATTTTATTTTATTTTATTTTATTATTTTCTTAATGCTCATTTATTTTTGAGAGAGAGAGAGACAGAGTGCGAGCAGGGGAGGGGCAAGGAGAGAGGGAGACACAGAATCCAAAGCAGGCTCCAGGCTTTGAGTTGTCAGCATAGAGCCCGATGCAGGGCTTGAACTCACAAACTGTGAGGTCATGACCTGAAGTGAAGTCGGGGACTTAACCAACTGAGCCACCTAGGCTCCCCTGGACATAGAATTTTAAAAGCAATTATCCTAGGGATTAAATGAAATGATTGTAAACAGTGTTCTGTGAACTGCAAAGAACTTTAAATACTATGCTACAACTAGGGTAATTGAAGAAAGGAGGCTCTTCTTTGTCTTGTAGCCTTTAACTTTGTCTTGTACTAAAACAGCCAAGAATGGCCCAAAGTACAGCTGTATGTGTCACAAAGTGCATACCACAAAAAGTAAAGTACTGGAAGTCTTTTTAAAAATTATTTTTCAAGAGATTGGATTCAAGGTGCCAGGCTACAGTTTATACTCTTGGCACAGTCATCTTTTCAAAGCCCTTTAATAAGAGCTAAGAGAGGTTCCAGGTGAATTTTCAGACATAAATGCTAAGGAGCTTCAAAAAACTTGGAGAGATTCTTTTTTTATTTTAGACCAGTGCCCTTCACAATGGAAGTGCCCTGTGCACGTTACCTGGTTAGGTGTTACTAGATGCCGAGACCTGTATTCGCAGGGCTGTGCACTCAGTGTACTCTACCTGGCCAGTAGTAGTGTCTTTTGTAGAGCATTAATTCATCAAGGACTTTTCCAGATGCATCCATAACTTAAAAAAAAAATTTTTTTAAATAAAATAATGTTTATTTGTTTTTGAGAGACAGAGAGAGGCTGAGTACAAGCAGGGGACAGGTAGAGAGAGAGGGAGACACAGAATCTGTGTCTCAGGCTCCAGGCTCTGAGTTGTCAGCACAGAGCCTGACTCAGGGCTCGAACTCACAAACCGTGAGATCATGACCTGCGTTGAAGTCAGATGCCCAATCGAGTAAGCTCCCCAGGCGCCCAATTTTTAAAAATGTAAGGGTAAACTCCATCTTTTTAAAAAAATTTTTAATGTTTATTTTTGAGAGAGAGAGAGAGAGAGAGCATGAGCAGGGGAGGGACAGAGAGAGAGGGAGAATCTGAAGCAGGCTTCAGGCTCTGAGCTGTCAGCACAGAGCCTGACACTGGGCTTGAACTCATGAACAGTGAGATCATGAACTGAGCCAAAGTCGGACGCTTAACCGACTGAGCCACCCAGGTGCCCCTGCCAGGCGCCCCAAGGGTGTC